TTTATGGGCACTATTTTCAAGTGGCTTGAAATTCGATTTCTGACCTTTATGCAAATTAGCTAAAACAGTGGCGAACACATATARTAGCACTTGCACGATAACACTGCAAAGCAATATCTAGCTTAATTGGCTTGAGCGTAGTCTCGACTCACTAGACACAAAAATGTAACCTCCAAAATTTCCAGGAAAATACGTTTGGTTGTCACATCCGAGACGTACACACATATTTAGGATTTAAAGTGCTACTTGCCTGATAATGGCCTTATTTCAAAACCTCAAGCAATACAAATATATGACTCCTTGATATCAATTAAAAAACCTCATATTGTAGGATGTCAAGTGATAATTTCAACTTTTACCCCTCCTTTGACATACAGAAAACACAATATTTGTTTGAGGAAAACTAGTTTCGTCTTAAAAAACCAATTGCGGGAAAATATTTGTTTTGGAATTATCCCACATCAGATTAATTTTGATTCAAAWGATGGAAGAACAAAAGRATGGAGTAAATGACGTCATCATCTCCATCATTTTTTTGTCAAAATTATCAAGGATTTGTATMAATATCTTCTTGAAATCTGTTAATTGCTTCAGTGATTATTAGACCCATATGGATAGGTCTATTTGATTKCCAAGTCTTTTCTAATGATTCGAAATCAGGCGGGAAAAGGCCTGACCCCAAACGAAGGGATAAGGCCCTGGGAACGAGGTTGGAAATTTTCGTCCAAGTAGCACGACGAATTGAGTATTTCATCAYACACACACAAGTTGAGTATAATCATACCCAGGACGGTTACAACATTAAAATGTCGTGATTTTTGTCATTCGAGATCCGCTCTACATTTGCACAAATTACTAATATATCGATCACACRGGATACATAAGTTTTGGGCAAAAGATTTATTGAAAGCTAAAACGATATTAAACGTACAAAGAAATAAATCTAAGAACGAACACCTGGGAGAGGTGGGTGGGCAAATCAGAGTAGAACTCGCATGCAGGACAAAGAATCGCAACTGGGGCACGAGGGCAAGCACAGCGCGATATAAGGGATTAGTTCACTSTCTGGTAATTACCCATCATCACCTCTCCAGGTTATAATGATACGTGTTAAGAAATTCGCTTTAATATGTACTGTACGTCACGTTGATGCAGATCATATTAGGAGTATGTGAAAATCAGTGACTTTGAATTCGATAAAATACCGAGCAGCTATTCGAGCTACATCAATATTTGCTATTTCAAGTCAATACATTTCAAATTGGTCTGATATCAAACACGCACGATTGCAAAATTGTTGGACTGCGTAACAAAAAAGTCAAAGTGAGCAATAAAAGCTGTATTGATAATTTTGTTTTCAGGAGAATTCAGCTGTTGGGTAGCTGTTAGCATTCTCTCCTGAAATGTTTTTTTTAATTACACTCTAATTTTTGTCTTCTATATTTGATCGTTTGGGAGAGTTGTCACCCCTCCTGGTTGCCATTAAGTGCTCCACTGCTCCAATGAATAAAATCCTGGACCAACTCCTGATCTGTTTTTCAATGTTTCCCTTGCTTTGTGTAAAGGAAGAAAAGCAAAGTACCTTCTTCAAGAGCAAAGTACCAAATTTTAATTTGACACGACGTAATTTATCATAACCTAACGCTCGTCAAGTGAAATTCGAGTAAACTTATTCTTGAAGAAGAATAAACCAGGAACACATGCTGCAGTACAAACAACAGTCGCCCAGTTCATCCATGTAACATAAGTACCTGAAAAAAAAGAAAAATTGAGTAGAATGTCATTTGGTTGTCCAGCTTGAAAACTCCTGTGTGTAACACTAGTCTCTTCACTATTTTGAMCTATTGCCATTCAGCATCACTTCGTCACTTCCCATTCCCCTTTACATAAAAATACTTATAAAAAAACGACTAATATTTCCCAAACGCGATTAAATGGCATAACTGAGCAGAATAACAAAGTCTTAAATTGCTAGCAATAATAACAAATTTTCGATATTCTGGTTTAATGGCCATGCACAAAAAAGGAATTGAAGACAGGGCTTCGGGGAAACAAAATAAGTTTAGTTTTTCCACTGAGGTTCGTCTATCAACTTTTAACGATCACAATCCTAACCTTCGTGGTCTTCCTTTTCCTCACAATAATACAAATCATATCAAACTTATTGCCATACATAGTGTGACATTTGCTTAGATTTCATTAGATTAGATCTTTTGATATGTTATAAATGAAGAGTAATCTGGTCTCTTTTCGTCGAATTTGACACTTCATACGGACTGTCAGGTTACGCTTGAATGATCACAGACTTTTTGTCCCACTTAAAATTAATTTAAAATATAATTGAACTTAAAAGTTTTTCAGGATCTAGGTTGAGACTTGTGTTTAGCTAAATATTTCCTAATTTCTCTGGGCTGTTGAAACTCGAGGGAAGCTTGTCCGATSGTACGTTTTGCTAGGATTAACAGAACCAAGCCCTTCCTTTGCAGGAAAAGAAAAAAGCCGCACGCCCTGATAAAGGAAGGGCTACTTCCATAAACAGTATTGGAAACCACTGTGTCAAAATGAAAAATATTTTGAACATTTTCCACATTATAGATTACGTTGTCAACAAAGTTGACCGGTTTTATGCTATTTTAATCGTGTTGCATCATATAATAAGTACTTCTTTGTGGTACTTCCGGTAAACTTACCTGGAAACATAAATACCACAATAAATATGAAATACACGACAAATCCGCCAGTCAAAGGCATTACAGTAGAAAGCGACTCTGCGACAGGATAGACTGTCTCTACTAACATYTCAAATAACAGCGGCGTTGTCCCGTTAAAGAAGAAACCTCCTAGTACAATTGAAGAAAAAAGGAGAACCTTGGAGTATGGTATGATATCTGAGCAAGTGAGACTGAAAAACAGCTGTGAGACGGCACAACCAAAGAACATGGTGATGAGAACCGCTCTGGTTTGACGCTTAAGATAATCTGTAAACCTGAAAGACACAATATGTTTATAATCAATATTCGYACAACTGTACAGATCTTACTTATAAGGAGTTCAAGATCTACATGGAATAAACATAAATGCAGTACATTTAAACAACTAAAGGCAGCAATCCGAAATCGTTGACTTTCTGTGGGTACTTTATCTTATAAGACTAGATTGTTAAATTAACTTTTTTTAGGCAAAGTGGATCTGTATAGGGACATCAAATACAATATATTCTAACCTTGCCAAAAAGATACCAGACAAGCAGCCAGCGATAGTAGCAGAACATCCAAGCCAACCAGCCAGATATTCGCTGACACCAAAAGGCTTTACAGCCAAAGCAAGCACAACCAACCAGCCAAAATAAACACCATAGCTCAATGAAAACAGGAATGCCAAGTAAAGGTACGATTTTTCCTGGAAAAGTTTCTTCAGTCCTTCCATGTAAGTGTAATGAGAGATACTACTTGATGCCGATGGCGGTGAAGGCGGCTTGTCAGGGAAATAGACCAAAGTACATATTAATAAAATTGCACTAATCCAGARCTCAACCRCCATATAGGTAGTAACGTTTTCACGTATTTTGAGGATGTCATATTGGGTGACATTAYCACGCAATTCACTAGTCCAGGTGTCACTTATATTGTTGGGAAATGACGAGTCAAGCATTATTTCATTTGATGTAATGTTGTCACTTAACAATTTGGCGTAGGTTAATGTAGTGTTCTCGTGACTTAATATAACAACAGGCACCATTGCTGGGCCTAAAAGAAATGTTACTGCAATTCCAAAGTATGCGACAAGTGTGCCAAGCGCTGTAGCTGTGTKACGTTCTTCAGGTGSAAACCACGTGGCAGATATCGAGGGAGGGGCTCCGAACGCTACTACACAACCAAGCATGCAAATAAACTGACCAACATTGATAAKAATTGTTCTAGTAATAGAATCATTGCACGGAATTACTTGGATAGCTTTTCCAGCAGTTAAAACGGAGACACAAAGAATGACAGATACTCGTAAACCTGAAATTAACACGAAAAAAGATTCAGTTCAAGTGCTACGGGACATACTTTAATCTATGCATATTATTTTCCCGCTTTTTAACTCGAAGATTGCGAAGCATGCAATCGAAGAGTTATTGGAGGGGGACAAATCTGTCACTCACTCAATCACTCACTCACTCACTCACTTTCCTGTAAACTTGAGCCTGCGTTACTTGTTTTCAAAACTATTTATTTATTCTCATTGTTCTCTATTAATTTTTTCATTAAGTTACCGTTACCGGGTTCCTAGTTCTATATTTGATTGAATTTATTTATTTTTTGGCAAAGAAAGAAATCTAAAGAAATGTCAGCTCCTCTGAGTCTTGAACTTCAAAACTGTGAATTAAGCCCCGTCTAGACGAACAATTTTTATGTGACAGTTTTTAATTGCCCGCGGTAGATGAGCAAAATTGGACAAATTTTATGTGACAACTGTAGTTACTGGAAAGCTGGCATGCTAGTTTTTATGTAATTGTCACATATTGATAATTTCCCGTGTGGACGAGCATCACATAAATGTGGCAATTATTTCGACGTCACACTGAATCCAAGTCTCAACATTTTGCACACCAACCAAGATGGCGACACCGATAGTAAGCAGAACGACTGGATTCGACAGAGAGAATGGTATTATTGTTGTTGCAAGAGCTAACACCAACTAAATTTGTTTTAATAAAATTTCAAAAAATACGATATATTTTTTTTAATCTTAACATGTTTCAGCATTACATTATGCCATCCTCATTCTTCTGAAACATGTTAAGATTAAAAAAATATAAAAATAAAAAATATAT